GGTGGGGCCAGTCTTGTGGGATCTGATGCTGTGGGTTCTGATTCAATTCTAGGTAGATAATTTCACCCTGTCAGTGTCTGCTGCTTATTGGAAAATTGCTTGGTGGCGCATAACCCCTATTTGGATGGTTTAATTGTAGGTGTACTGATTTTTCTCAACACTATTAAAATATCAGTAAATATTTAATCTTCAATTAAGTAATCAGCCCCGCCAGCATCTATCCCCAGCAGGGGGCATACAGGAGGCATGATCAGTGACTCTCATCACTGATGTTTCTCTCTCTCTCTCTCCCTCTCACTTCCTCTCCGGTCCTCCTGCAGCCTCCCAAACCACTGATTTGGGTGATTCTCTCATCGCCTTCGCCACCCACTATGATGAGGTGCGGGCGCCGGGCAATCTCAGCCCCACCTCAGTGTAGGTCTCCAGGGGCAGCACCACCATCTTGATCTTAGCTGCTTAGCTTAGCCCTGGATTCTGGTCTTTTCTTGAGTCCCTCTCTCTCATCATTGATGGTTCTCTCTCTCTCTCTCCTTCCCTCTCTCTGAAATCAGTAGAAACATATAAAAAATAAACCATAAAACTTAACTACAGTTAATAGTCAAGTTTCTACATTTCTACCTTTAAATTTAAATTTTATTCTTTAGTTAAGTTGTGGCTTCAATACCCACTGCCTTTTGTTCATTCCTCATTCTTGAGGGATATGGTGTGATGATCATTCTAGCTAGAAGTCTGCTGGAATGGGGCGAAGATCAGGATTAGAAAAATAAAACTGCTTAGCTTTTATTTGAAAATATTCCTTAGTTCTTGGTTTAACATGGACATTCTGCATTACCATAATTTTTATTCCCTCCTTGACAGTCCTGGTTTTAGTTTCAGAGATGAAATATTTAGAAGCATACACACTTTGAAGATTAGGAGATGTAATATAATAAAGACTATCATTAAAATGTATTCTTGTAATATCAAACAAAAGAATTCCCCTATTCCAGAAGGTAACCAGGAAAAAAGATCATATAATGGGTCTTACTTTCTTACATCCTGTAACCAGGTAGCCTTCTGGACAATTCTGCCTTATTTGAGTTTCAACTTCTCTAGAAATGTTAATGTAGGTGCAGTGTGTTATATTAGCCACTGTGCATACTCTCCTTTGTTTTGCCAATAAATAATCTAGGTATATTCTATTGTCAAGAACACTACGGGTTAGTAAATTCAAGGAAGTTTGTTGGGATTCTTGACAGTATCCTCAGCAATTTGTTCAATAGTGACAGAAAGGTTGCGAATTATGCCTTTGTTGACATAGACTCCTGCACTTGGTATGAGAATGCTGTATATACATTACCCTATGCTGTGCTCATATATAGCTAACATTTCTCTTTTAAATGGAAGGGCTATTGGAGGTAGGAAGATGATGCTTTCTCTTGTACAGGGAAAGAAGTGTTATAAAGTGTCCTAATAAACTTTCAATTTGCCAGCTATCCAAACAATGATGTGCCCAACCCTATATCTGGGGGTTACTCCCTATACCATAAATTAAGCTGTAAGCTGGGGGAGCATAAGTTATTTTATCAAGAGTAGTTTCAGCGATTTCCCCATTTTTATGGAGCTTAGAAATGACATTGTCAAACCATGGATGAAAATTAGTGCAGGCTTTCCAAAGTCTACTTACATGATATACAACTTCTTGGACTTTGGGGCATAGATAGGTATCATTTATTTCATTTTAACAAACTTGTCTATAGTACATTTTGCAGGATTTTGAGTATGACATTTGTTAACTAGGTAAAGGAGAGATCATGGAGGGCCTGAAGTTAGTTGTCCTGCAATAGAGAGCACTTCAGATAAGTTAAAGCAATGTGAGGGGAGATTAATTGCACCTGAAAGGTAATAAAATTCAAGGGGAAGAGGTTATAATAATTTACAGTATCTTGTACAGCTCTAAAATTAGTTACTGGCACTCCTAAGTGTATACGTTTTTCTTGAACTGTTTGTAGAATCATGACAAATCCAACAATGACTCAAATTTCCACCATTGGCTACACTTTGAGATAACTAATGTGTTTTATCCAAGCCCACAAATTGGAAATACTTTAAAAAGTAAGGAAAATAATTAAATCAAGCATCCTATAGCTTTGTAATATTATAAGTACAAAAAAATCATTCAATCCCTCTAGGAGGAGACTATTAGATTGTAATAAAAAAAAAATTAGAAAACTGAAAGCAAAAAGAAGGTATAAAAGTCCACAGGAATCATGCATTGGGCTTTACTTAACTATAGATTACTTTAGTTTAGCCTTCTGAAAGAGTAGTTTTAAGTTTGTTAGAGGCTCACTGGACCAGGTCTTTCCAGTGTCTATTTTCTATTAGAGAGTCTGATAGTATTTGCTTCACTTGGTTGTTGTGAACCCACAGCTTGACTTCTCAAAGTTCCACTGGAAAGTGGATGACTAGCAGCACCTTGTATGGTCCCATTCAATGGGGCTGTAGTTGGTCTTCAAGGTGTTGACTTCTCTAGAATTTCAGTAGTACCTGATCTTTTGGACTTGTGTGGCATGTGATATAAAGCCACGTCTGTTGGGTACAGTAACCTGCTGGGAGCAAACATGAATAGCAATTAGAGTGTTTCCTAATGATTGAACATATCTAATAGTCCAACCCTTTAATGTGTACCCCATTGATATCTCTTGACTTACCTGAGGAATATAAGAAGGGTCTAGCACATAACATTTCGTATAGGAGTAAACCATGCCTACTTCTAGGGGCCACCCTTATCCTCAATAAAGCAATGGATGATGCTTTACCCCAGCTAAATTTGTCTCTTGGCAAATGTCAGCTAAAGTCTTTTTTTATTTGTTTTTTTAAATATATTTTTATTGATTTCAGAGAGGATGGGAAAGGAAGACAGAGAGAGAGAAACATTAATGATGAGAGAGAATCATCTATTGGCTGCCTCCTGCAGGCTCCCTACTGGAAATCGAGCCAGAAACTTGGGCATGTGCCCTGACTGGGAATTGAACTGTGACCTCCTGGTTCATGGGCCGACACTCAACCACTGAGCCACACCGGCTGGACTAAAGTCCTTTTTAAGATATCATTCATTTTTTCAGTTTTTTCCAGTTGATTGTGGTTTCTGTGAAGCATGTACTTTACAGTGGATATTTAAATTTTTAGATAACTTTTGCTATGAAAGCTGCTCCATTATCACTTTGAATGGTTAAAGGCAATCCAAACCTAGGTATAATTTCCTTGAAAAAGGCTTTAATTACATTGGAGGCTTTCTCTAATCATCAAGGCAAAGCTTCAACCCAGCCTGTGGAGGTATCCAAAAATACAAGCTGTCCCAAATGGTATGAGATCCTTCTTCTTTATAGCTGTGTAGTATTCCATTTGGGATAGTATGGAAGGACGCGAAGAATATTATGCTAAGTGAAATAAGCCAGGCAGAGAAAGACAAACATCACATGATCTCACTTATATGTGGAATCTAAAGAACTTAATAAACTGATGAACAGAAATGATTCAATGACATGGAAGCATGGATCAGACTGAGGAATCTCAGAGGGTGGAGGTGGAGAGATTAACCAAAGAACTTATATGCATATATGCACAACCCAAGGACACAGACAATGGTATGGAGAGGGACTGGGGAGGGGGTTGGGACTGGGTGGAATGAGTCATTGGGGAGTAAAAGGGACATCTGTAATATTTTGAACAAAAATTAAAAATAAATAAATAAATGAAAGAAATTAATGTCATTACTTGATGCTGTGACCCATAAAAACTATTTTTAAAAAGTATTTGATCAAATAAAAATTATTAATATTACCAAAAAAAATACAAGCAAGTATCCAAAGTTATCTGTTGCCTTAGGTGTTATGGTAAAATCAATCTTCCAATCTTCCCCAGGTTCCTCTCCCCTGATTTGAAATCTCATTGGAGGTGGAAGTCCTAGTTTTGAATTATTTTAAGCACAAATGATACATCTCTATTATTTTCTGTATAGCTCTTTGCATATTTGTTCTTGTTATGAACTTTCAGATCCATTAAAGAGTGGCATCTTTTCCATAACTTGGACTTTGATGGATGTGCATATCTTCCATGAGGTGTTCAGGGATAAAAACTTTTCCCTGCTCATAGGCTATCCATCCAGTTTTAATATCAGGATTTTGGTTAAATTCCCATTCTTTGGCTCTCTTTAAGTCTTCAAGGGAATATTGCAGGTGATATTTTGTTGAGTCTACTTTAAGAATTAGAGCCATTATTTGACACTTTGGGGTTTTAGTACTGGCTGCTAGTTTGGTCGGCCTGATTGTTCCTCTGGGAGAGTGTACATTCTGCTTTCTGATGCCCTGGGCAGGGAATTATTGCCAGTTCTTTTGGTTTCATTACAGCTTCTAATAAATTTAATGTTTCTAGGATATGTTTAATTTCTTTATTACCTGTAGTTAAAAGTCCTCTTTCTTTCCAAATGGCTCCTTGAGTATGAACCACAGCAAAACAATTTAGAATTGGTGTATATGTTTACTTTTTTGTTCTTATTTAAGTGAAGGGCTCTAGTAAGAGCAATGAGTTCAGCTTTCTGGGCAGAAGTACCTGGTGGAAGAGTCTTTCCTTCCAGTTTTTCCTGATGGGTGACAATGGCATATCCAGCTCTTTGTTATCCTTGATCCATGAAGCTGCTTCCATCAGGGAACAACTCCAAATTAGCATCTGACAAAGGCTGGTTGATGAAATCAAGTCTGCTAGAGTACCCTTGTTCGCTAACCTGTGACAGGATTTAAAGTAGAAACAGCTTTTAAAGTTACATTAGGATTGTCCAATAGGATGGGTTGGTATTTACCTATTCTACCTGCTGTTAAACAGTACCCCCCTTTTTGTTCTAGTAAGGGAAATACACAATGCAGAGTGTACACTGTGGTTGGTCGACCCAGGTTGAACTTTTCAGCTTCTTGTAGTAAGTCGCAATTAGCAGCAACTACCTTCAAACATGTTGGCCATCCCTTAGTTATTATATCTATTGTTTAGAAAAGTATATGACTGGGTTCCTGATGATTCCCAGAGTCTAGGTTAAAACTCCAAGATTGTTTCCTTGCCTTTCCTATACAAACAAGTCAAATGGCTTTCTTATATCTGGGAGACTAAGAGCCAGGGTAGTAAACAGCTGTTTCTTGATAGTATAGAATGCCTTATGGCATTCTTCAGTCCTGTACAAAGGTTCTTTGTGTTCCCCTTTAAGAGCTTCATAAAGGGGTTTGGCTATTAGGCCAAAACTTGGAATCCAAATTTGACAAAAGCCAACCATTCCCCCAAGTCCCCATAGCTGTTTTTTCATAGTAGGTATGGCTACTCTGACTAATACCTTCCTCCTATCAGGAAGTAGATATCTTAGTCCTTTAGAAAGCTAAAAATCCAGTGGTGGAGAAATCTGGTCCTTCATCTTAAAGACTATATAGCCTCATTCTGCCAGGAAATTTAAAGTCACTGTGGTGTTTTTATTAGAAAACTCCTTTGTTTTGCCGTCAATCATGATATAATCTATAATACTAGAGTAGGATCTCCTCTTCCAATTGGAGATCTCATAAGTCTCTGGCCAAGATCTCTTTAAAAATTGTAGGATCAGAGAAAATCCAAAATGGCAGCAGAGTAGGAAGAAGTTACATTCACCTCCTCCTAGGACCAAATTACAACTAAAATATAGAACAATCAACCTGAATAATCAACTGAACACTAGCTGAACATAAGTCTTATAACCAAGAGTTTACAGAATAAGCCACATTGAGACTGGAAGAAAGGGTAGCAACATGAAAAATGGCCCAGCACCCACCAATGGTGGCTGAGAATCTGGAGGGATATCTCAGGTTTAAAGGTCCCTGCTGAGGAGTGTGGGATTTCAATCCCATGCTGGGCTTTACAGCCCAGCACGACAGAGCTGGAAAGAGGTACCCACATAACACCTGGCTGTGAAAATCAGCAGAGATTCTATCTGCCAGGGAGATACGGGACTCTGCTAGAAACCCAGTTGCCGTATTAAAGGGCTAGTGCATAAAATCTTGCCCCCAGCCATGAAGCCTAGGGACCAGAGGAGGGAGGTCAGATCAAAGAACACTGGAGTCACGTGAGGAGTGATGGTTGAGTGACTCTGGGGAGAGAGCTGAAGGGACCACTGCTAGGGTCCCTGTGCTGAGTCCCTCTTTGACACCACTCACAGATGACATCTTTCTGGGGTAGAGCACACCCCTCCATATAGCATCAGCCTGGGGGAATTAAATAGCCCCACTCTCCCAACTCCCTATTGCCTTGCCCTGCCAAGGCCACACCCTGTCGAGGAGTCAGCTATTGAGTCCCTGGGTAGAGGTCCAGGCAAACTAAAGGGGTGTCAGAGACTGAGTTGTGTAGCTCAGAAGAGGGGGCAATTCCCCCTCTTCCTGCAAGCTTGTCTAGAGCCACCTTCTAGAAGCTTGTCTAGCCCCACCCTCCCGATTCCAAGTGGCTCTACCCTGTTGAGCTAGAGTTCTTGAAGTTGTCTGGCCAGAAACCAAAACAGACTGAGCTGTGTGTCTCTAGAGTGGGGCCCAATTTTCACTTGCACTACTGACTGGTGTCAATGTGCTTGTGCTTTTCTTTACACGGCCAAGTTTTGGCCTGTTTGGGCCAGATGAAATTTGCTGGCTTCACTGTGAAAATTCCTTGAGACCTTGCCTCAACACAAACCTGTAGGGATACCCAGTGGGTGGTGGCTGGCATTGGTGTTATCTGGGACTTTTGCTGAGTGGCTTCAGACTCAACACTGGCACTGAGTTTGAAGCTGTATCAATCTGTTAAACAGCACTTGCCCCACTTGGTAACTCACTGAGAATATACTTCATGCAACTTGTGTACTGCCAGAGGCTCTTTCAGTGACTGAGCTTAACAGTCAGTCAGCAGATGGAGGCAGGCAGAAGTGTATCTTAGGGTCCCTTGCCTTTCGCTGACCTTTCACCAGGTTTGCTGATGGTGTTAGTCAGCCTCGATGGGCACTTTGGTCCCTCTCATGCTTGAAAGGTCCAAGAACAATCAAGAATCAACTACAGCCCACCCAGTGTGGCTTAGTAGTTGAGTATCGACCTACGACCCAGGAGATCGAGGTTCAATTCCTGGTCAGGGCACGTACCTGGGTTGTGGGCTCAATCTCCATTAGGGAGCATGCAGGAAACAGCCAATCAATGACTCCATCATCATTGATGTTTTTATCTCTCTCTCCCTCTCCCTTCCTCTCTCTGAAATCAATAAAGACATATTTAAAAAAAAAAAAAGAATCAACTAGAAAAGGAGGGGTCACATAACCCATACAAGGGACATTCCTGGAGCACCTTCCTTTGGTGACAACAGAGACTATGCTACTGAGCCCCATAAGACACCTACTGCATAACCCTATGAAAACTGGGAGACATAGCAGATTTATCTAATACAGAGAAGCAGCCAAAATGGGGAGACAAAGAAACATGCCCCAAATGAAATAACAGGAGAAATCCCCAGAAAAAAAAGAACTATATGAAATGGAGACATACAATCCCCCAGATACAGACTGCAAAACAATGGTTATGAGGATGCTCAAGGACTTAGGTGGAAAATGGATGAACTCAGTGAGAACTTAAACAATGAGATAGTAAGCATGAAAGAGGACATAGAAAACATAAAAAAGAATCAATCAGAAATGAAGAACACAATATCTGAAATGAAGAATGCACTAGAAGGTATAAACAATAGG